AATATAACCTACTGCGCGAAAGTCTTGGCACAAAATATTCGGTCATTTTCAGAATACTTATTAGCAACTGGTAAGAGTCAAAAACCGTCAGTTAGAATCAGACTTTTATGCTCTTTCCGAATATATGGGCTATTGGCTGAGAGAGAGCCGGGAGTTGCATAATTTTGTAGAGTAACGTCCGGACCATCTACGCATGCAAAAAAGTTACTAACATTGTATGTTAGTTTTCTGAGAACGGAGCTGGTTTTCCAAAGATCCTCTGGAAACCCGATCTCTGGAACTTTTTCAAAAGTCGCTTCCGCTTGTGAAACGTTCTGCCCAAGTATTGGCTATTGAACAGCGAAAATGGCAGGTCTCTATCTCATTCCTATCAAAAGTTATTCAAAAAGTGGCGCCGGCACTGTATTTTGGTATGGGTAGTAGTTCAGTTCTTATTAAACGCGAAGTGGTACCAGTTCTTTTCAAGAATCCAAAAGAAAATAAAACCGATACAGCTAGTTATACTGACTTGGTTTAGTCAACTAAACACACCATCTACCTCTGGCGCACTACACAAAGTTAATATAACTAGGTTCATCGGTTTTGTTTTATCTTTAATTTGATTTGATTTTTATTTTTTTGAAAAGAATTGGTAAGCAGTTCCCGTTCAAAAGAACTGAACTGAAACTGTCCCACTCCTAATGCGGCGTATGTAATAATGAAAAAAATTATATCTGTAAAGCTCAAATAACAGTTTTCATGTTTCTAAAAAGAAAAATATTTTTAAAACAGCACTTGCTACTAAAATTGAACACATTAGATTTGTCTGATCTGAAAAATCACTTTTAAGTTTTCTTGAAAAAGCTGTTAAAAGTAGTTGAAAGTGTTTAAAAAGGCTTTGGGCTTGATATTGATTGTTAATTGAAATTGATTACCTCTCAAATATTGAATTTCACCACGTTTTTGAAGTTTTTAATAGACATCGATAACTAAAGACAAAAAAAGTCGAGACCTGTATATTTTGAGAAAACATCTTTTACTGAAAAAGTCAATTAAACTGGTATCGTTCATGATTTATTTAAAAAGATGGAAACAGTCATTCTCCATGTCTGTTTTTATTCGTTTTGATGACAAGTTATCCACAAAAAGAATTGTTTATGAATTAAAGAATTGTTTTATGTATAAAACCGTGTTTTCGATAACATAATTTTAAAAATTGTTGAACAAATAGAAAAGAAAAGCAGTTGACATACAAAGGACTTTTTTATGAAAACATAAATCAATTGTATTTTATCAGTCTCAATCATTTTCTCTTACTTTTAACAACTTAAAACCAAAAAAAATTATTATTTTCTTCCAGATATCCATAGCCAAGCTTGCTGTTTATTTCTAAGGCTTTTAGTACATTCGTCGTCGATATGGCATGATTCTATACGAGAAGAAAAGAATAGTCGTAATGCAACTCTATCGAAATTTCATTTCAGATACACTAACTTGCATTACAACAAACGCCGTTTTCTGCACATTGGCCACCGATGACAGTTGAACACGATTGACTATCAATAGTACACGGTATAGGGTTGTTGCCTTCAAATGCACACTGTATAATATCATCTGGATGATTAATACGACATCCATCATAACTTGAACAACAAATATTTGGTCCAAAACATTGACCGTTATTACCACATTTGGGACACTATAAACAAAACAAAAAGATTTTCAGTAAACTGATTTTTGTAGCTGAGCTATGAAATGATAGAAATCTTTTTCCTAAAATTTCAGGAAAAAGAGATAAAATGAACATAGAAGATGTATGGTTACTTGTACGCAACTTTTAAGGACTGACGAAGGAAGGTATCAATAATCACAATAATAAACAAGCTGGCTTGGTTCGATGTATCACTTTTATTATCAAATGTCATCGAGTGATATCTATTTTAGAGTGTGACTTTCTTGTTCTCAATCGTTTAGTGATTCCAAAACATCATACCTCATGTTTGTAACGCAGACTTCTTTTGCCACCAATTGGACAATTTGTAAGACGGCAAGCATTTATAATACATGTTGTTGTGAAGAACAATATGTAAACAGACAATATGGTAAGGGTGTTCATTTTGTTCAGTGATGAAATCGCTGTTAAAATTAAATATTAAAAATGAAGATACATATATCAGATTTTTGCCTCTCTCTTTTGGTTTTTTATTGTCTCTATAAAATATAAATATAGAAAAATTAAGATAAAAAAAGATGTGAAAACTAAATCAAAGTTATTGTTCGATGGTCTAAATTGTACAAATCACGTCTTGACTAGGTCTCAGGATGACTTTATGTCTAATAAGAGTCTTGATGCATTTCTTGTGCCTTAAATGCAACACGTGATTTATTCATGGCTGAGTGTCTTAGCCGTAGCTAGTTGTCTTGTGACTGTTTGATGCGTTCGTGATGTCTATCGAAAGCTATTTTTATCAAAAAAAGTAGTGATTCAGAGGTTTTTTTGTCAAGATATCAAGGCGACTAATAGTAAAAAACGATGAGAAAATGCCAGGACAGGTTTAGGTTACGACTTCGCAGTTTAGGATAGGTTATATGTTACGAAAATTTTTACAGGACAGGTTACAGATTACACTACCCGTACCCTGTTTTCTGGAAAAAAAATATCAAGCACCATCTGTAAAGGGGAAGAAATAAGAACTAGAAAAATAGTTTTAATTAATCAAAAAAAAACATTTAGTGCATCAGGAAAAGTATTGGAAACACGAAGACAGTTGTTGAATCCAGCTGTTGTTGACGATATATTATTCATCAGAAATTTTTGAGATGTGTGATCTTTTGTTGTTGTTTTTTGCTGCATAAATAAAGTAAATGAAAAGAATTTGCTTTATTAGGAAAAATTTTCGAACTTGGGTACTCATTTTTTGTAGTAAGTTTTTCGCAGGACACGACAGAACGGATTAAGCAAAAAATATTGTAGGTTAGGACAGGTTACAGGTTACGCAGGATAAGATTATGAAAGGTTATAGGTTGTTAAAGTTTTTACAGGATAGATTATAGGTTATGAAAAAGTTGTAACCTGCAGGGCTCTAGTCTCTATCAAGCGTGGTACACAGGACGTGCTTAGCACTCTTTCTGTTCTCAAACACAACCAGAAAGATCCTCTCCACTTGGTAATGGGAACTTAATTTGTGGAAATTGCAATAAATTATTCAAAATAAGAAACATAAAACAAAAATATAATGTGAAAGAAACCGTGTAAGTTCAATTGTATTGTGAACAACTTCGAAGACTAATATGGCTGCGATACTGTTTACAATACATCTTTCATTCATTCTTGAACGTATTTATGTCATGTATTAATGTAAAAGATAGACAATTGATGACACCGACGAACCAAAAAAGCTGATGAAAACAAAGAAATCGAAAACAGCAGTATTTGGTTATTGCATTCTTTAAAATGATAACAAATGCCTAAACAAACCTTCTTGACTGTGCTGTGTTTTATGTCGAACAGTAAAAATGATGACAATAGAAATACAAATCACTCTGCTTTCCAGATACATTTTTCGTTTCTGAAAACGTCGTTGATAAAAGATAACAAATCAAACTGAAAATACCTGTTTTTAAAAATCTTAGCATGCTGTTAATGAAAACATGAGTTTAGTCGGAACGCACACGCAACTAGTGGTTCATTACAGAATATTCATCACTCAGCCTCTTAATTGACAAGTTCTTAAGCGCTTCTAATATTTATGAATGAATTTCATTTTATATTTTCATCCATATGCTTTCTTCCTATCAGTAGAGTGTTTTCTCATTCTTAAGATGAAAAAAGAAGTGGAAAATGTTTTTAGTTTAAAAGTTGCTATTCGAACAAAATGACACTGATGAATGGTGAAGCAGTAGAATGATCCGTCATATATGACGTTTTTAGCACGGTAATCGAATAAAGTTCTTCATATATGTTAAATAAAACTGTAAAAAACAAAGTGTGGGAAGCACTATGGGAAAGCACATTTTGTGCGAAACGGATCGAAAATGGTGTGGGAAGTACTGTGGGAGAGCACAGGAAACGGATCGAAAATGGTGTGGGAAAAATCGTGTGGAAAATTTGCGAAACGTGGGAATTATTGTGTGGAAAAATAAGTAAAAATCTTCGAGCGTAGGAGAAATTTGCGTGGGAAACGGATCCAAAACCCGTGGGAATAGAAATGTGGAAATTCCTACACTTTATTTTGTACAATGAAATTTTGTTTTACAAACGCTTTTTCGTTACAGAAAAGGTCAAGCCTTGGAAATTTGAACTGGACCTTACTATGCGCACAGAATTTATTTGTAGTAAGGGCCAGTTCATGTTTCCAAGGCTTGAGCTTTTCTATAACGAAAAGGCGATTGTAAAAAAAATTTATTTACTTCAGACACGTCGAGTTTAAAATATCAAAATCATATATGTTAACGTCTTTTTGTTCGATATATAATTCAGAGACTTAACCAGATGTATGATGAACTAAAACCAAAATACTAAAAGCTTTATTCGCCAGTTTTAAAGTTAAATATAATTATTGCATACTTAGGAGAACCTTTCGAGGTGATAAATCGCTTTTCGACTCAGACCATTTTCATCATATAGGCTATAGTGATCAGGGAAAACGCCCAAGTTGGTTTGGGCTCATGATAATTAGGACCGGCGATGAAAAATTTTCACGTTTATCCAAAAAAACTCAATTTTGTGGATGTTTTGAAACTTCGTAACATGAATTGGCTTTATATAGTAACAAGTACAACGTTAAATGAGATCATATAATCTCAATAAAGTGTGGTACGTTACGCGATAGAGATCTGCACATAACCCTGGCGTATATCAGAAAAGCAAAATATATAGACAAAAGTTTAAGACGAGAGAACATATTCAACTAACGAGAGAACCTTTCGAGGTGATAAATCGCTGCTCGACTCAGACCATTTTCATCATATAGGCTATAGTGAGCAGAGAAAACGCCCAAGTTGGTTTGAGCTCATGATACTTAGGCGAGGCGATGGAAAATTTTCAAGTTTTTCCAAAAAAACTCAATTTTGTGGATGAATCTTTGATTTCTCGGCCAAAAGAAATCTGATTAAGCTGATATTTTCATTGCAGCTAGTAATCATAGTGGCCATAATGATCTGAAAGTGTGAGCTATACTGCTTATCGACTCTTCGAAATATAAAAATTTCAAAACTTTTTCATTAAATTGGCGCTCGACGTAGGCAACTGCTC